CTATCTTCAATAAATAAAAATAAATCAAACATATGTTCTCATTTAAACATAAAAACACCAATTAATTAAATTATTTATTTTCATAGAGGATTTACAGTAAAAAGTAATTAATATCAAAAAAAAAATTCAATAAAGTTATTATCGGGAAAAATAAAATACAATAAAATAATAGGTGAACGTTGTATACATAAACAAATTAAGGATCATAAAAAAAATAGTAAAATAATTCAATAATAATGAATTATAAATGTATACTGATAGTCGATCATGTACTACCACAATTTTTATGAACAACATACAAAACAAATAAAAAGAACATAAAAATATTAATGAAACAATAAATTGAATTCCAAAAAGTGTTGGTCAAGTAAGAGATAAGAAAAATAAATAGACGTGTAGATTTGTTTGATAAAAAATGCGAATTTAATTATGATGATCTATATATATTTACAATTCCTATGAATTATATTATTGAACGGTTGTACACAGATAACATGTATATTAAATAACACATATGTAATGTTTAATATATCTTATATGCCTAAATTACTAAAAATAAAATAAAATTATGTGACACCACCTTGTAACATTGAACATTTTTACTATGGCAGTACCTTATAACGATCTACACATAATTTGACAAATTAAAAAATGCATAAAATATAAAATAACACATATATTACATTTAATGCTTAGCTGTCATCCACTAATCAATTTGTCTTACTTAATCGGTTTCATAGACAAATACTAGGGCAGTAAGGGAGGAGTAGAGATTACAATTGTTGTGACATGCTCAAACACTTCGATCTTTTGTATGGAAGGAGCCATAGCATGGTCGCCCCTAAGGCCCAACCATTAAAATAGTCATCTAGAACCCCAAAAATTTATGGCCTCAATTTAATTTTTAGTCTTTAGTTCAACTTCATGTTATGAGGCCAATTTGAATAGACAAAATTAAAGGCATAATATATTTCACAAGTATATCTAAAATCTTATAAAAAGATCTAAAATGTAACAAGTTCACAAGTTTACGTAAACCTCGTAGAAAGTCCTAAAATATAACAAATCCTTCTAAAAATATAGAAAAATAACGAATTCTAGTTTTAAAAGTTACAATCATTTTCGATTTTTTTTTTACTATTTTTTCCTTCATTTTTACCCCTCTCTTTTACTCTTTCTCTCCTCTCCTTCTCTCATTGTCTTGTTGTGATTCTTTGTCATTATCTTTAACTTTCTTGTTGTCACTTTAATTATTCATAATGTATAAGATCCTGACTTTACAATTTCACCCAATTTATTACCTCATCCCACCCGATCTCAAAGCTCTTGAAAACAAATTATACTGCAACTTTCTATAAAATGTCTAATACTTATTAAAAAAACTTATTATTTTCCTAAAATATTAAATGAACTCATGTAAAATTCTTGCTTTAGGCCTTAATTTGTGCACGGCTTTTGTTTGGGGTGATGACAATGAAGAATGTGTGTGAGAGTGAGAGAGAAGGGAGACAAATTATTATTGAGGGAGAGAAGATATGTGAAATACCAAAAAAAAGGTGATGACAATGGAGACTGTGTGTAAGAACGAGAGACAAATTATTATTGAGAGAGAGGAGATATGTGAGATACCTGAAAAAAGGTGATGACAGTGAAAAATGTGTGTATTATTGAGGAGAGGAGATGCGTGAGATACCTAAAAAAAATTCCACTGGTTGTTGCCTATTGTTGGCGATGACTATCCAGCAAGCTCTGTTGACAACGATAGAGATAAGAACGGCGGTTGTTGAAGGCGTGATTGAGATTGGACATGAAAAAGCGAAGGGGTTATTAGGGAGTGAGAGAAAGGAATAGAAGATTTGGAAAAAAAATAAGAGTGATGCTATACTGACCAAATTTTGGGATCAAATTTGGAGCCCAAATGATTTGACAATATATTATTTAGAGTTTTTATTAAGACCCAAATGACATGACACCAAATAAAGAAGTTCAAGTCAACTGCCATGTCATTTGTGCTCTAAATTTGGTTCCAAAATTTAGTCAGTATAACATTACTGGAAAAATAAAGGCGTGACTAAGGGCAAGAAAGATCTCCTTTCCTTTCTTTATTGGAATACAGAGAGAGCTCTCCTTTCCCCATTGGAATTCAAAGGGAGCTAGAGAAGTTACGAGTGGAGAAGAAAATATTGGGTGTATCAGTTACACCATAAAATCTCGCGTCGTGTTTATTTATTGTTCGTATCAAGTATTTGTCAACTCTAATCCAATTCGTTTAACTAATAGAGTTGACCTATTTAGTTTTACGTGGTATTCGTGTTGACCCATATAACTTGTAAATAAAACATTTAATGTTTAGATTTAAGTCTAAAATTTAATTATCACTTTATCAAACCTATGCTCATATTTTTTCTATAAATTAAAAATTAAGTTAATAAATATAATAATTATGTCACTACTTGATAAAATATAATAAAAATGAACATTTTATTTTTATAATACTAATTAAATGTGTTAATCGTATAAATTTTGTGAATTGATAGTTATTGAATGACGTGAATGAGTAGTTATTTAATTATGGGGGATTAACTTGCCCACATATTATTTTACTAGTAATAACCCGTGCCTGAAGGCACTAAGTAACTAAAAAACCTCTATCACCGGTATGCAATATAAATATTTCAAATAATACTTTATTTTTTTATTATTTTCTTTAGTTACACAATTCAAAATTAATTTGAAAACACTATTTTTTAAAAAAAATTGACAAAACTTCCATAAAAACGTCACCCCTAAAAAATATCAACATGTACACAATTTATATATTTAATCATTATACCTAAAAAATATCTTTTTTTTTTTGTAGAAGTCGATATTGACATGTGTGTGTTGGTAGCTGTATAGAGAGAGAGTTATATAAGATATGTGATAAACTTATGAGAGATGAAAATATGATACATAGAGAGAGATTATGATATTAATTGATATTAGATGTATTATGTTATATATATATATATATATATATATATATAGTCGTCCAAGTCAAACTCTCAGAAGATAGAGTTATATGAGATATGAGAGTGTGTGAAAGAGAAAGAGATGTAAAAGAAATAAAAATTCAATTAGGATCATACATGTATAGATAGATAGATAGATATAGGATGACATACATGGATAAAGTTACAAAGGGGCAAGGGTGGACACGGGCCCATCCTCAATTTTTTTTTAAAAAATATGATATATATATATATATTTGTATTTATATATTCTAAAAGTTATACACATATTTTTTACTTATACTCACTCTATAATTTTCTTCTTTTAATTATTTAGTCTTTTTTATTATAATAATATGGTTTTCTTCAGATGATCTTCATTTTATTATGAATTTTTGCAAGCGAAAGTTCTTTCAATTGATCTTCATTTGATTTTGTTTTTTCTACGAAAAATTATCTTTTATTTTTATTCGAATATTGATTATAGTCTTTATTATGTGCCAATCAATTTTTAATTTTTTTACTATGTCTCTTAGATTTTAGTTTAATAGTTTTATTATACTAATATTTTAGTAATAATGTTTAAAACATCGTTTATTGAATAAATTTAATAGATTGTTATTGAATAATTGATATTTTTTAATTATAAAAATGACAATTAGCTTCACTTTTTACATTGGTGATAATTAGTCAATTTTTGATACATATATAATATATATTATTTTTTGGCCTTTTTATGTTAAATGGATTTCATGTATCAATATATGATATAATAAATGTAAATATATTATACAGTGTTATTGGTTCAGAGAAAAAAAATTAGAGTGCATAATTAAAGTGTCCACCTTAAATAAAATTTTTGGCTCCGCTTCAGATGACATATGCTAATGAACTTATAATTTATTAGAATTAATCCTTGTTATTGTATTTTGTTATTATTATTATTATATATATATAAAGAGAGTTATATGAGAGATGGAAGAGTGTGTGTTTAAAACATGTGTGAGATAACAGAGAGAGTATAAGATAGAGGGAGAGAGAGCTGTATCAGTTAGTATGAGATAGAAGGAAAGAGAGGAGATGAGATAGTGTGTTTAAAATGTCTAAGAGATAAAAGAGAGGGACTTATATGAGAGCTAGGAGAGGCGTGAGATAGGGGCTGTGTTGGGCAAGAAAGAAAAATATAGGACTCTTTGTTGACTATTAGATCATAATTTTTGAGATGATTTGAATTATCTTTTATATTGAGATTACATTGTCCGTTGGATGTGTTTATGTTTTGTCTCAAAACGATCTGGACCTTTCTTTATCTCCAAAATTCAAACTTCGTTCTATTTTATTTTATAGATTATTGAATAGTTACACTAATCAACATGATGATAGGATATAAAAGTCACGTAAGAGTGGTCTATGGATTAAGGATGCTAGATTTTGACCCAAACTGTTATTAAAATTAGTTATCAGATTTTTATTTGTTTTAGGAGTCTTTGTTCACATGGAATTATAACCATGTAATAGTATTTTTTTTTGAATAAATTACATATATGATCTTCAAATTTTGACTCTAGTATTAATTAAGTCTCTTAATTTTTTTCTGTATCAAGTGAGCCCTTAAACTCTTTAATTATATCAATTGAGTCATTCTACTATAGGTATACTAGGGTTATAGAAAGTATGGGGGCCATGGCCCCCTAGGCCTCCCTCGTGTTCCGCAGGTGATACAGATTATACATTGAGACAAAGGCGGCTCAGATCAACGTATAGATTATACCTTGACATATGTGTTTATTGTAAATTTTTCATTTATACGACTCATTCGTAAGATTATGGAAAAGTGGTACACTCTTTCTGGATTATATGTAGACTTGGGTTCGTTGAATCCGTTCTTTTCAATCGAAAAAAATTATACAACATTAAAAACGAATCATAATAATGAAAATACTTCAAATTTATTAGCAATTTGAAATGAATTTGATATATAATTACTATATATCATTAATTTTCATCTAGCTATGTCTGTGTTTGCAACCACAGATCACCATCAATGAATGATACATTAAGAAAGGGTGAAGCTTGTGTGTCATTGAGTCTCTGGGCATATGCCACCCGCATTGTCATATTAGATCCGGCACCTAAGCACTTGTATTCTCCATAAAAGATAGTCCTGCGTTCGAAACAAGACAATTAGTTTATAAATGTCAATGAGACCATCCTTTAATCCAATGGAGAATACTATGGCAAGTTTAGTTTAGGTTGGATTAATTTAATTCAACAATGATATAATACTAAGTTTGGATTGAATTATAATAACTCGATATTAATTTCTCTTTAATCCTAACCCGATTCATTATTACCATTTAACACCTAATATTAGATAGGAATAAATATTATGTGATAGGTGGTATTAGTTTTAACTTTCATATAAAAGTTACACATTATACAAATTCTTACCCTTAATATTTGTTTTATCAATTTCAATCTAATACTGTATACTATTTATCTAATACAAACATAAATTTAGTGCTATAATTATAGATTTATACCTTATCCTAACCTTGATCCAAACCTTTTACACAAAAGATAGGATAAAATAGTACTTTTTTTCACATGATTTGTATGGACTAATAATACATGACGTGCGCACGTGAATATATTTTAAGAATAAATTGTTTATAAAAAAATTAAATTATATGAGTAATTAAATTGAGTAATAAATTATATAATTTTAATTATTTCTAAACCTAATTATTATTCTATTTTACCCTATTCGAGTATCTCTCTGACCCCATAGATATTTTCTCATTTATTTATAATGAATCTTTATTGTAAATTTATTATTATTGAGTATTTGCACATTTAATTAAATTATAAATTTATTATATTTTTTATCAAAGAAAATGATTAAATTTTAATACTATTGTTTATATTGTAATAATATGATATTGTTGTATACTAAAAAACCAATTATAACATATATTGAATTGTAAAATAATAGAATATAGATTGGACTTTATTTCTTCATGTAAATATAGACATAGATATATAAAACCGTATGTAAGTGTGTTATTGATAAATAAGTCTAAAAGAATTTAAAAATAAGATATGATTTAATAAAAAAATCTAAGCAACTTAGAAGTCAAATAGGTATACGGAATAAAAATAATACAAACTTTTAAAATAAAATATTGTTAATAAAAGAGTTCAAAAGAATTTAGAAGTCAAATAGATATAAGAAATAAAAATTAGAAGAAACTAATATATGAGTATCATTAATTTTATAATAAATAATATAGATTAGATGGAAACCAATTATTCAATCTCATACTTTATTTATAGTGAAACGAAACATGCACTTAGAAGTGTTAGAGAGATGTTTACGTACTGGTCTCTACTGGGGTCGTTGAAGTCGTTCCACCCCTCGGGGGCAATGATATCAGACATAGACGTGAAAGCAAAAACAACTCTCGAGAATGGCCTCCATGCTCGACCTAGCCATGTTCTTCCTGTCCCTCCTACTGTGCAGTTGACAAATGCAAAGCCACTGTTTTCGTCGTTGGAAGCTCGGCCGTGGGCTGTAATGGCTCCATTTATAGTCTTCACTCCTGTTGGTACTGGGCTGGATATAGAAGTCAACTGGCAGTCCTGTACAAGATCAAAATTATAAAGCAGGATTGATGAATGGTTATTGTAACTCATTCTTTGGAGCTACACGGTTTGCTACTGCACATACTCTGTTACTTCTACCGTAAACTGGCCCAAGTAGATTTTTTCTTTTGGTTCAACGATGAAAGGTGTTTAAGGCAGTTTATATATACTTTGATTAATTTTTTTTTTAGTCCGATTTTTCGGAGTTAGAGTGTACATGAGAGAATCTCTATCATGACTTGGCCTAAGAAATTACTAAAATTCAATTTCAAGACTGACAAACCCAAATCCAACCGGACCAAACCCAATAAACCAAATAAGCTCAAGTCAACTAAAAGACAGGTTAAGTCTAATTCGTATTCAAGTAGTCTAAGAAGAAAAGAGCACGTGGAGAGAGATTATTGGAATATCTACTCTTGAAAATCAAGGCTATTATAATTGTACTTATTTTTTGTAATTATCCTTCCTGAAAAATTAATGTCCTTACACTTACGTTACCTCCTCACTATGTCTATAAATTGTAAGTCTTCTTCACCTGATAGGACACATCTTGACATCTCACCACATCTCTCTACACCTCCCTACACACACAACTTTTCGCTTCCTAACTATTGTACCTCTCTCGGAGCACACCTCTTCCAGATTTTTCTCTCTCTTACTTCATTCATCAATAAAAACCCTCCACCACCGTTGCAATTTACCGGAGTGGAATAGGTCATCCGGACTAAATCACCATATATTTGCGTGTTGACTCAATATTTACATTACTGTCATTGATTGCTTTATTTGTTGTCCATTAATTACATCTTATCACACACTCGACTGTTGATCTTACACGAGACAGTTTTGTGCAGCATTAAGAACATCTAAATTTATAACTCGTCTCTGTTACCAATTAAACGACCATTGGGGTTGGCCTAAATAGCCTTAAGGCATATACAAATAAATTTACATAAACAAATACTGCCTAAATTTGTCTCTCTCTCACACTCTCATTCATATGATTTTATGTTCATAACGCATTAAAAAATGGCATAGTCATAAAGTAGCTTAAACTCTCTTTATTCATTGAAAATATGGCATAGCCATAAAATAACATATATATTTATAATAAGTTTATAAAGACTCTCGCTTAAAGTTTTCGCTTAGGGTCTCAAATTCTATTGAGCTGACCCCCTCCTCTCTCTCTCAATCTCTCTCTCAACTAATGGGATTGGGATTTTGTGGTCTCACCTAATACATTAAGTTATTGATGTGTCATCTGATATTGTCCAATAATATTACTCCAACTCATTTAGTTTTTTATTACGATCATATCAGCTGACACGTCGGTAGCTCACAACGCCATATTTTAGTAATTTTATTGATTTTTTTTTCCAATTTTTTTTGTCTTATCGATTCAACCAGTATCATGCATACAAACTGAGATTGAAGGCAGCCAAGAGTACTACCTCATAAAATGATCTTCCATTGCCGAAGATGAAGTCGATTGAACCTTGGATATAGCAATCCTTGAAGTAATGGCGACCCCTATCATCATGAAGAGTGTCCTGGGCACCAAAGAATCCACAACCCCAGAATGCAGATTGGTCTCCTGCTATTCTGATTGCCACGGCTTGTGCTCCAACATCCCCAGGTTTTGGAATTGGAGCTACATTCTAGAATGTAAAATTTTCAGAAAAAAAATCTCTCTAATTACTCTATATTTGATAGGAAAAAGGCAAATTCGAGTTTGACTCCCCTCTACTATGACTTTTTTTCACTTTTTTTCGGAAGGTAAATAGTTTATTGATTTGAAAATGTAAGATGTACAATAAAGCTCAAAACACGTCCAAAAGGACACACGGATTAGCGCTTAGAAGAGTCTATTCCATACAAAGCACAAGTAATGCTATTTAAACTTAAAAATCTGATATAATTTGTTAATCTAATGATGTGGCTTTATTAAAACCATTGAATCAACACCAAAGTTCTAATATTTAATTGGATTCACAATTAATTCAAATGTCATAATAAATTACATCAGTAAATTAAGCCCCAATAGTATAGCTCTACAAAGCACAAACCTAGTATAGAAAGAAAAAAAAAAGACAGACTAGGGAGGAACTTGCCTACCTAAATATTTTTTACTTTATCCCCCTTCACTATCATATTTTTCACATTGCAATCTCAACTATGTGACTAATTTCGCATTGTCTCAATTATCAATGTCATTACATATTTAACAGAAAGTTATATCATTTTGCCCCCAATTGTGTAATTATTTTAACTTTTCCTCGACACGTCAACAATTTTTGTCCAAAAGATAATGGATATTTGTGATTGGGACAATGTGAACAATCAAAAGAGTTGGGGGGGCAATGCAAAAAAATTAATAGTTCAAGAGACAAAATGAAATCGAATCTATAGTTTAGAGGGTCAAAGTCTAATTTACCCAAAAAAAATAATTGATTTAATCTACAAATGTACCATGAAACTAATGTTCTTAGCAATAAAGTTTGCAGCAAAAACTTGAACGGAGCCGCTGTTGAATGTGCCATTTGAAGAGTTGGCTGTATCATTCCACACAATTGCAGTTGAAGTATACCCTTGTCCCTGAAATGTGATGTTTGGTTTGGTTCTTGGAACAATGACTTTCTCACTGATATGACAACACATGAAAATGTTGTGAAAGCTTATAAACTTTTAATTTTAAAAAACAAAACAAAATACAAAGAAATTCTTACGAGAAAACTCGGAGAAATTATCATCAACTTACAAGTAGATTCCACTGTTAATCCAGATTATGGTTCGGTTGGAGCTAAGAACTCCTACTGCATCAACTGCAGATTGCACTCTCGTGAAATTACAACACCCTTTAGAATCGACGCAGATAAATGAAGTCGTGTTAGTATCTGGAGGGGGAAAATCAGGAGGAAAATCATCACATATAGATTTTGTTGTATTTTTGTCATCATGGTGACGGTTATGGTGACGTTGGTAATGACGCTTATGGTGACGTTGGTAATGGTGACGGGATTGAATATCATTTGAGATTAGTATTGTTGGAATAATGGGTGATGTGGTAAAGCTAAAATCAACAAGATACTTGAGAAATTGTTGTGGAGTTGTGAAATATTTGGATGCGAGAGCTGCACAAAGGGCAATGGAAATAGTGAAAAATATGCCTTGGAGCTTCATTTTTTTTGTGATTGGAGAAGAAGTGAGATGGGATTTAAGAATTGGGTGATGGGGAACCAAAAAAAAAAAAGCACTTGAAGTACAAGGGTTGATGGCATGTCTTGCAAATCACCCTGTCCCTGTTTCCGTGGGGCAATTCTCAACCTACCAACCTTAACATGGATGATGCGTTGATGCTTGAAATGAGAATAAGAAGTTGGTACTTTTATAAGACTTTGGATAGACATTGTGGCTTTTCTTTTTCGAGGAAAAATAAATACTAGGAGTTCCAAAATTTAATATATTCTTAGCTCAAAACCCTTTTTAGAATAATCTAGAAGAGTGTGAATATTAATTATTTTTTATGTAAAAAGTAATAAATTGAACTCAAATTTCTTTAGACAAAAGAAAGAAAGAAATAGAGATTAATACCTAAATCACATAGAGCGGAAGCACAAAAGCAATAAAATTCAAAAACATCTTAGAGTATGAGCTAGCGCCTTGAAAACATTATATTATATGCAGGCAAACACACTTTCATCTATAAAAATTAATCAAAATTAAATTTCTTGCACAACTACTTGAAAAACTCTTTAATTTTCAGATATTTGTTAATTATAAGGTCTCAAAATGATAATCATAAATTATAAATATCATACTGGTTTAATATATATCTTTAGGCATGGACCTAGATTTACAAAATAAAAATTAGAATAATAATTCATAAGCACATAAACAAGTAAGAGCGAGACTTAATTGAATTTGTAAATTCATAAATCGAATATGTGAATTTGATAAATAGAGTGAGAATTCACGAAAAATTCGTTCTCAAAACATGAATTCGTGTGCAGGAGCATCAGGTGCTCCAGCGAATCTTGTGACTTGGGTAGCAACTCGCAAAATTCTGTTCAACTTGCTATCTTTTTTTTTTTTTAAGATCAAATGAGAAACGGGTTAGAGTTGAGAGAGTATTCATCTCCGTTTCTCTTAGCCAACGAAAAATAGAAATTTGCTCATTTTGGATGGAAATTGGCAGAAATGATATTGAACAGGGCGAAGCCAAACGTTTTCTCCAGTGGAGGCAATCTAAACCATATGAGTATTAAAGTTACTAATGTTCACAAAAGTATAGTTTCATTAATATAATATTAATTAAAATTGCAACCCATATAAATGAGGGCTATACAAAAAGAGCCAACAAAAAAAGCTCACCATAAAGTTATCGATAAGACTTAATCATCAAACAAAAAATTTTGGACCAAAAGATTGAGTTCAATCATATATAGTTGAATTTTAACAAACAATCGAAACAAACGTAAACTATGATTATTCTACCAAACTAACTTGGGTGTAGGAATTACTTAATCAGTCACAATAAAACTATTCAAACCATCAAATCAAAACAATTTAATCTAACATACGATGGATGCAATGCATTTTAAAAGAATTTTTTGACATTTATAAGTAGGTGAAGAGGCATTGTATTTTTGACACATGTAAGGGGCATTTAATGCTCTCACGTGAGGGTGGCGGGATAAGATACGTGAGGAAACAGTAAAACCATAGCTAGGTGAAAGTCTTTGAGCCTTACTTCGACAAGGACAGGCCGAATTGTTTAAATAGCTTGGGAAGGAAAGAAAGAATGCAGTTTTGACGACCGAGCTTCTCATGTAAGCAACATAGTACTTAGGAGATGCCTATAATTTAGGCATTCTGATATAAAAAATGAGCATGATCATCGGCTTGGTAAAAGCAGGTCAACTGAAGAAACATCCGGAGAAATTTCAGTAAATCCCTAACAAATTTCCCAAATTGATGGAGGGTGTGCTACCTTGTATTGTCAATCAAGAAAACCCTAGTAGAGGGAGTGTAAATCCCCACATATTTATATTAATATAGTAATGTACTTGTTTAGTGATTCTTATATATGTAATGACGTAAGAATAAATCATATATATTGAAACTGTAAAAATAAATACTAGGGAGACAAATTAATTGTGAAATTTAATTTTTTTTTTAGGTGTTTAAGGTTGATAAGGGTAACAAAGTAAAAATATTAATTTTAGTGTTTCGAGTGTAAATTAATTTTAGTTTTGAAATAAATCATAAAAATAAATGTTTTTAGGTTAAAATAACATTAAAAATTAATCTAAAACGTCTAAAAACCTTAGGGGTAGTCATATGGATCACATTGGAGATTCTTAGTGGCAAAATTATAATTTTAGAGAAAACTAAATTAGCCTGTGAACAGTAAAATCAGAATTTGGCTGACCTTATAACACTATTTCATCCCATTTTTCCTCATTTCTTTCACTCCACTCTCACCTCACACCTCTTGGAACCTTAGAGAAAGATCATAGGAGAAAGAAAAAGGAAGAAGGAGGTCACTAGAACTTGAGTTCTTACTTGAAATTTTGATTCAAGGTAGGAATTTTCTTCCATCCTTGTTCATTGAGGTTAGAGTATTTATATATGTATGTTTTATCTTTAAATGATATATATATGATATGAAATCATCATCTTTTAGTCTTTTTTTGTAAAAATTACATGTTTTGAACAAAATTAGGATTGAATACTCATGAAATCTCTTTTCTTCCTTTAAAATCCTAATTTTTGGAGAGTGATGAATTTTCTTCTTAAATTCTTCCTTTATTATTGATTTCGAAGCTATAGTGCTTCGTGTTGAGTAATAAAATGATATTGTTGTGATCTCTTATATTTTTCTTAATTAGTCATTGGAATTATCACATGATAAATTTGACAATTTTTGAAATATACTTGTAAATTGAGAAATTGAGTTTAGTATTGTATCTCTTATGAGTGTGGGATGACCATGGGTAGCCTTTGACAAGATATCGTAAAGTGGGTAGACGTTCTTCATACTCCGTGTGGGTTTGAACTTTTTCAATCATTCATAGTGGGGTTAGTGTTTTGGTAAGACGAAATCGTTATTGCTCACGGGTATCGAGGCAGAGGGTTAGTATACTAATGCTTGGGTTGGATACGTCATTGCCATTGGTATGATATACGCCCTTCCTAAAGGTTGGATATGTTTTAGAAGATTTGTGTATATGGGGGGGGCTAGATGTTACTCAATGCGTTGATTCATGTGGATGTCTTACATCATGATTGAGATACATGTATATATTGTTGTGAAATATTCAAGTTATGAGTTATTGTTTATTCTATAAGAAATGGTTTCTACAAGAATCTTGGGAAGTATGAGATTCTGCAAGAACTTGTGAAAAACGGTTTATGGTGAAATAAATTATTAATTGTATATTGAGTTCTTTTATTCATTAAATTATTGTTGTTACTTAAACTTGAGATCTGTTTTCAATGTCCTTGTTTTCTTCAAAAGTTATATATGCTATTTGTAAAATGAGACCGACCATTTTATATGCTTTTCTAAACCTTGTTCGAGTTTGGAAGAATTTTCCTACAGAGCTTCGTACTCACCCCCTACCTAACAACCTTTTCAGATTATCCTCTCGAGGAACAGCTGGGAGTCGAGAAGCCTAAATACTGGGAGACTCTGATAGATGGGAGCGTGAATCCCGAGGTGGAAGCGTAGAGTGACACTTTCTTTTGTTCTAGACTGGGATATTTATTTTGAACATTGTGAAGTCTAGTTTTTCTTTTGTTATTCCGCTGCGCTATGATAGTTAAATTTTTGGGATGTAAATGCCATGGTTGAGCATATTCTTTTGGATAATTTTATAAATTTTATAGATGAAAAATGAAGTCTTATTTATTTATGGATCATATTAGTGCTCTCATAATGTAAATGGTTTTAGATATTAATGTAGTCAATATTTATTCATAAATGGACCCAGTGTAGTCAATGTAGTATAATTACACAAGTTGTGTTTTAGGTAGAGCTCCCCGTACAAAGGAGATTCTGTCCTAATTTTGTTAAATTAATGACCCCCGATTTTTGGGGCGTTACAAGTTTGGTATCAGAGTTTAGGCTTTAGGTCTTACATGAGAGCTATAGGTTATGGATTACCACTAGTGAGGTAGGATTAAGTTGAACAAAATTGTTGGTTTATATTTTATATAAGTCTTAGGCTTTAGATTAAAGCGATAGTTAGGATGTTTTGTACATCAATGAGAACTAAATTATAAATTGATGTGCAGGATGAATAGAGGACGAGGATGAGGACGTGGACGTGGCGTGGTTGTGGAGGTTAAGCAAATCCACCCCTACCACCACCTTCCGATGCCATGAACGACATCTACCAATGGTTAAGGGAGCTCACCACTCTGGTACAAAACCAGAATGGAAACAACAACAACCACAATGGGGGAACTCATCCACTAGCCCAAGTATCGGGCAACGGGGATGAAAATCGGAGAATGGTCATTCTTTGAAAGTTTTTAAGACAGGGCCCACCCACTTTTCGAGGAAGCTCCAATCCCTTGGATGCGGATAGATGGATTCGCCGAGTGAAGAAGATTTGTGATGGCATGGGTGTGGCCGATAACCTTAGGGTTGGCTTGGTGATATATCTATTGGAGGGAGAGGCCAAGCATTGGTGGGATTCCGTAAAGAGAAGGAAGAACACCAATGCACTCATTAGGGAGGAGTTCGACCAAATCTTTCAAGACAAGTTTTTTTCAGAATTAGTTAGAGACAGAATGAAGGCAGATTTTCTTGCTCTACGACAGGGCAGCATGACGGTGACCGAGTACGAGAGGAGGTTTGACGAGCTATCCCGTTATGCTATAGAGTTTATATCTATTGAGGCCAATAGGGCCAAAACGCTTTGAGCAGGGATTAAGGCCTGTTATTTGGGAAAAGTTGGTGGCCCTCAAGATCAGGGAGTATGGGGATATGGTTGACCAAGCTGCACTTGTGGAAAGAGATATAGAGGACAACCAGCAACGACAGAGCTTCGTGAGAGGAGGTCCGATCCGGACTGGTGCTAGTAGTAGCGGATTACAGCGAGCGACATTATATCGACGGCCAGACCAGGAAAGTGGACAAAGACTCTTGACAGCCCGAGGAGATGGAGTTGCTCAGACTAGAACAAGCATTGACCCGTGTCAATGCTTTGCATGCGGAGAGTTTGGGCACTTCAAACATAGATTCCCTCGTTTTCCTCAATGACCAATCAAGCAACCGGGCAGTTATCAGCAAATAAGCCACCCCTACAAAGGCCAACACAGTAAAGATCATTACAAGCTCAAGCCCTCGGCGGCGCCAATCAAGGGAGAATTTTTGCTTTGACTCAACTAGAGGAGG